GCAGTAGAGCCTGTCGAGGTAGCTGTTGACTCTAGTGCTGCTAGGGGTGCTGAGACTGCGGGTGCGGGGTCTTGGGGTGCTGAGCCCGAGCGTGCAGAGCCTGGGGGTGCTGGGTCTGGGGGTGCTGAGTGTGGGGGTGCTGAGCCTGGGGGTGCTGAGCCTGGGGTTGCTAAGTCTGGGGGTGCAGAGCCTGAGGGTGCTGGGCCTGTTCGTGTGGAGTCTGGCGGTGTTGGGACTAGAGGTCCTTTGGGTGCTTCGTCCCGACGGGAGCTACCCTCTCCACAGGAGCTGTGCGAGTGGTTTGCTCGGTGCTGGAGCCGTGCTGCTGGAGCAGGTGGTGCTGCTGGAGCTGGAGGTTCTACTGCTGCTGGGGGTGCTGGCGCCACGGGTCCTAGAGGTGCTTGTACTGGAGGTACTAGAGCTGCTGGGCCTGGTGCTCCTGGTGCTGGAGCTTCTGGTGGTGCTGGAGCTAGCGGTGCTGCTGGAGTAGGTGTTGCTGGAGGAACTGGAGCTGGAGCTGCTGCGTCTTCCGGTGGTCCTGCTGGAGCTGGAGCTGATGGAGGTGCTGGAGCTGGAGGTGCTGCTAGAGCCAGTGCTCCTGGGGTGCTGGAGTTGCTGCTCCTAGAGCTGGTGGAGCTGCTGGAGTCGAAGCTGACGCTGGGGGTGCTGGTGCTATCCCTGCTGGTTTAGGAGATGCTGCGCCGCCACAGCCATACTTCGTTCCGCTCCTTGAGCAGGTTCTTGGTCTTCCGCCCTCTACTGGTCCTGCTCCTTCCTTAGAGTGTCCACCGACTGTCCAGTCCGAGTCACAGTTACAGCCCGCCTCCCCACTTCCTGCTCCTTCTCCCTACACTGGTCCTACCGGAGGTCTTGCTGAGCGTCGTGAGCCTGCGTCTCGTCCTGCGTCGCCTATTCGTGCTGCTCGCACTTGTCGTCGTGTTCCGCGTCAGCGTCCTCCTGCGGTCCCAGGCACGCACCAGATGGCACTGCGTCCTTCCACTACTCCACTTCGAGTCCCTTTGCCGTCTCCTCAAGAGTCCTCTCTTCCTGCTCTTCCTGACCTGGAGTCTGACTCCCTTCGTGCTGCCAGTCCTACTGTCACGCATCTCCTAGCTACTGTTGTCACTGACCCTTCCTTTGAGTCCACTGCTGCGTCTGCCTTAGTTGCTGAGCTTGTCGACTTCGCTGCTCACTGACGTCTCGACTACGCCGCCAATCTTGTTGCTGAGTCTGAGTCTGTCTGTCCTCCGTCCGTCAGGGGTGAGTGTGCTCTTAGCACGGACGTCCTTGAGGACAAGTAGGAGGAGTTCCAGTGTTTTGCTGCTGCTTTACCTCATCTCATGTCCATGCTGATTGCCCCCGAGGGAGACAAGGATGCACCAGACATCCTGACTCCGCGCTCTTACGCAGAGGCGATAGAGGGTCCCTACTCCTCTTAGTGGAAGTCAGCCATGGACGCAGAGATGGCTTCCTGGAAGTCCACAGGCACCTACGTCGACGAGGTTCCCCCACCTGGGGTGAACATCGTCAGTGGCATGTGGATTATCAGCGTGAAGCGGCCGCCGGGTTCTCCGCCTGTCTTCAAGGCGCATTACGTGGCTGGAGGCTTCAGTCAGCGGCAGGGAGTTGACTACTCTCAAACCTTCTCTCCCACCCAGAAGATGACCACTCTTCGGGTGCTGCTGCACATAGCCGCTCAGCGCGACTACGAGCTTCACTCTCTTGACTTCAGCACTGCTTTCCTACAGGGCAGCCTGCACGAGGAGATCTGGCTACGCCGCCCACCTGGCTTGACTGGTTCGTTTCCTCCTGGTACCCAGTGGAGCCTCCGGCGGCCAGTCTACGGTCTCCGCCAGGCTCCCCGTGAGTGGCACGACACACTGAGGACTACAGTTGCGGCTCTTGGGTTTGCTCCTTCTACTGCCGACCCGTCGCCGTTTCTACGCACCGACACCTCTTTGCCGCCATTCTACATCCTCGTGTACGTCGACGACTTGGTCTTTGCTAGGGCTGACACTGCTGGACTCGCCCACGTGAAGTCCGAGCTGCAGAAGAGACACACGTGCACAGACCTGGGTGAACTCCGCAGATACCTTGGCTTGCAGATCAACCGGGACAGAGAACGGCGCACCATTACCCTGACTCAGTCACACATGGTGCAGCAGGTCCTTCAGCGCTTTGACTTCACGTACTCCTCGCCTCAGGCCACTCCTCTGTCTACTCGCCACTCGCTCTCAGCTCTACCTTTGGATGAGTCCGTAGAGCCGAGTGGCCCGTACCCAGAGCTTGTTGGCTGCCTCATGTACCTGATGACCTGCACTCGACCTGACCTTGCATACCCTCTTAGCATCTTGGCACGCTATGTTGCTCCTGGGAGACACCGACCAGAGCACATGGCTGCAGCGAAGAGGGTGTTGCGCTACTTGTGCAGTACGTTGGGCATGGGGCTCGTGCTTGGAGGGCGGAGTTCAGTGGTTCTTTAGTGGTCATGCAGACGCATCTTGGGTTGACGACCTGGCTACGCAGCGGTCGTCACAGGGTTACACCTTCAGTGTTGGTTCTAGCTCTGTTTCGTGGCGAGCTACCCGCTCGTCTTCTGTTCTCAGCTCCAGCTGTGAGGCTGAGATCTACGCAGGGGCCATGGCTGCACAGGAGTTACGCTGGCTCACCTACCTCCTGAATGACCTTGGACAGTCACCTTGTTCTCCTCCTAATCTGTACGTAGACAACAACGCCATGCTGGCCTTGTGGCGAGAGCACAGAACGAAGCACATTACTCTTCGCCACTTCCTTGCTCGTGAGCTGCAGCAGCGTGGTCAGCTGTGTCTTGCTTACGTGGCCTCTAGGGCCAACACTGCTGATATCCTCACCAAGGCGCTTCAGCCTTGTGATCATCAGCGCTTCTGTACTATGTTAGATCTTGTGCCTACCCGGCCTCACCTGCTTACCTCTTGACTTTGCCTTGTACTGTGATCTATGTATACCTGCACCTGCATGTTTGCCCTTGCTAGGTTGTGATCACTGTCTTGCCTGTTCACCTTGATTTATAATCATGCATGTGAACTGGCCTTGTGGCCTCTGAACTTGTGCTCGGAATGTGTGGTGACGTTGTGATCCACCCTGAGCTTGTTTTGTTTTACTTGACTGGTCTTGTGACCCCTAGTTCTCCCCCACTTTGCCTATGAGGGTGTGTCAGATATATATGACTTAGCTTTTTTAGGCTACAGTGGGGTAGACACTAAGGGGTATAGGTCTCTAGTATTTACTTTTTGTACCCTACTGTTTCTAGTCCTATTCATTCGTGTTTCTTCACATCTATGAGCTCAATCAAATAAATTCCAACTGAAGTCTCTATAGGGTCAGGTATTGCTCCTGGAACTTATTGCAATGCAGCCAATTCTTAAGCGGGCATTGGCGCGCCTAAGCGAGAAAAACCTAATTCGTAACCTCGGCTAGCAGAATCTAAATACTTTGAGTATAGTTTAGATACGGAAAAGTTTCACTAGCTTAAATACGGGTTTTTGAAACTTTCCAAGCGCATTATAAGCGTGGCTTTATCTTGCTCTTCCATTTTAGGATAACTTACATTCTGCCTTACTTCTACTTCAGTTGGGTAATAAAAAAGCTCATCACCCGATAGCACTCTAAAGTATTGTTCGTCACCATCGGCTTCTACCTCAACGCACCTATATGTAGCTGTAGCGTTGACCTGCCATGGATGGGCAGCTTCGTGCCGTCCACCATCGTTGGTATGAATTAAGTCTCCTCCGAGGACTGTCAGAACATTATAGCTTATGCTTTTGTGTAGGCTGTAGTGGGGTATCCCATAGGGGGTACAGCCCAATTAGGGTTAGTACTTGTACCCACTTCATTCATAGTTCATTCATTCTCGTTCACATTTCCTCATGGTATCGAGCAGGTTCCCTCGTGGGAACTGTTCCTAGGGCCCACCAATTCTTTTTTTCCTGCCCGGGGCGCGTCCTGCCCCTGCCCAAAGCGCGCCTAGGGTCGCGCCCTTCTTAGCGGCCCTGTCGCGTCACCCTTAGTGGCTCGTCGCGTCGCCCTTAGCGGCCCGTCGCGCCGCCCTTACAGTCGCGTCGCGCCGCCCTAACGGCCGCATCGCGCCGCCCTAGCGGCCTCTCGCGGCCCCGATTAGCCGTCCTTGCGGCCCCGATCCGCCGCCCTTTCACCAGCGGCCCCGTCGCCGCCCTTCTCACGGCCCCGCCGTCCTTTTAAATGACCCCGCCGCCCTCACCTGCGGCCCGCCGCCCTTCCTGCGGCCCGTCGCCCTTACCTGCGGCCCTGCCGCCCTTATCTGCGGCCCCGCCGCCCTCAACTGCGGCCCCGCCACCCTCAACTGCGGCCCCGCCACCCTCAACTGCGGCCCCGCCGCCCTCAACTGCGGCCCCGCCGCCCTTACCTGCGGCCCGTCGCCCTTACCTGCGGCCCCGCCGCCCTTATCTACGGCCCCGCCGCCCTCAATTGCGGCCCCGCCGCCCTTACGTGCGGCCCCGCCGCCCTCAACTGCGACCCCGCCGCCCTCAACTGCGGCCCTGTCGCCCTTCCCTTCGGCCCCGCCGCTCTCACCTGCGGCCCCGCCGCTCTCACCTGCGGCCCCGCTGCTTTCACTTCCGGCCCCGCCGTCCTTACCTGCGGCCCCGTCGCCTGCTGCAGCGCCGCCCACCACCCGAGCTGCCCGAGCCGCCTCACCCAGCCGAGCAGCCGACCGTCGCGCCGCCCTGCAGCAGCACCGCCGAGCCGCCCGGGCAACCGAGCAGCCGGACACCCGAGCCGCCGAGCCGCCCAGCAGCCGAGCAGCCGAGCCGCCCTGCAGCCGAGCCGCCCAACAGCCGAGCCGCCGGGCCGCCGAGTCGCACTGCAGCCGAGCAACCCAGTTGCCCAGTTGCCGAGCCGCCCGAGCTGCCCCGTCCGGTAAGCACAGCGCCTCTTTCACTGCACTGCCCTCACCCTACTGTTTGCGCTGCTAGTCTACTGTGGTCATGGCTACCCCTAGTGTCCTCGCTTTTGACGCTGAGGGTCGAGCCATTGACATTGACGTCTGGGTAGATGACCTGCAGCTGTTCTTACAGTGCGACAGGGCAGACGGTCTCTCTCTCTTTAACCTCACCTTTGGCGCCTCTCCTGCCCCTGCTGCTGATGCTGACGCCACTGTTCACTCCCAGTGGGCCACGCGCGACGCTGCTGTACGTCTTGCTGTGCGTCGCCACCTCCCTACCTCCGAGCGTGCGCACTTTAGTCAGTACAAGAGTGCTCAGACCTTGTACGACGCTGTAGTTGCACGCTACTCCTCCCCTGCCACTGCTGCACTGAGCCGTCTCATGCTACCGTACCTCTTCCCTGACCTTGCTGCCTTTCCCACAGTCGCTGACCTCATTATGCACCTCCGCACTAGTGACACTCGCTACCGCGCTGCGCTTCCTGCTGACTTCTGCGCCAAGAACCCCCACCCCATGTACATCACCCTCTACTACATCGTCACCCGACTCCCTGACTCCCTTTGCGTAGTCAGGGACCACTTCCTCGCAGTGTGCCCCACCACTCTCACCGTTGACCTCCTCGAGAAGGCCCTCCTAGCGGCGGAGAAGAGCATACTCGCTGTAGGAGCCTCTCGTGGTGACCCCCGCACCCCTGTCTTTGAGGGGTGTTCTCCCTCCCCCCTCTTGCCCTCTGTTGCTTCTGCTGCTGCGGCCGACCTCGTTGGTTTTGAGCCGGTCGGTGCTGCGTCTGCCCCGTCGGGCAAGCGCCGCACAGGCAAGGGCAAGGGGGGCAAGGGCGCTGGAGGAGCTGGCGGGGGCGGTGGAGGTGGTGGTGGAGATGGCAGAGGGAGAAGGGGTGGTGGTGGGAGTGGTGGAGATGGTCTCCGCTGCCTCCGCCGCCTCCGCCACCACCGCCGCCTCTTCCCCTACCGCACTCCGTCCCTCCCCCCCCCCCCCCCCCCCCCCCCCCCCCCCCCCCCCGCTCTTCCTTATACCAGGTCCCCCCCCGGTAGACCCCCTCCCCCCTCAGGGTCCTGCCCCTTCAGGTGTGTCCCAGGTAGACGCGGTCAAGCCTGTCGAGGTTACTGGCGACTCTGGTGCTGCTGAGGGTGCTGCGCCTGGGGGTGCTGAGCCTGGGGTTGCTGAGACTGGGGGTGCTGAGCCTGGGGGTGTTGAGCCTGGGAGTGCTGAGCCTGGGGGTGCTAAGACTAGGGGTGCTGAGCCTGGGGGTGCTGAGCCTGGGGGTGCTGAGCCTAGAGGTGCTGTGCGTGGGGGTGCTACGCCTGGGTGTGCTGTGCGTGGGAGTGCTACACCTGGGGGTGCTGAGCCTGGGGATGCTGAGCTTGGAGGTGCTACGCTTGGAGGTTCTCCGGGTGCTTCGTCTGTGCAGGAGCCACTCTCTCCACAGGAGCTGCGCGAGTGGTTTGCCCGGCGCTGGAGCCGTGCTGCTGGAGCTGGAGGTTCTTCAGCTACTGAGTGTGCTGCTGTCCGGGTCCCGGAGGTGCTCGTACTTGGAGTACTGGAGCTGCTGGGCCTGCGAGTTCGACTGGAGCTGGTGGTGCTGAGGGTGTTGGCGCTGAGACTACTGCTGGCGGTCCTGCCGGGGGTACTACTGGTGCTTCTGGAGGTTCTGGAGCTGCTGGAGGTGCTGCTTGAGCGGGTGCTCCTGCTGGGGGTACTGGTGCTGTCCCTGCTGTGTCTGGCGTCACCGCGCGGCCTCGACCGTACTTCGTTCCACTCCTGTAGTAGGTTCTTGGCCTTCCGCCTTCTATTGGTCCTCCTTCTTCCGAGTGTCCACAATCTGTCCCGTCACAGTTACAGTTGCAGCCTACCTCCCCTTTGCCTGCTCCTTCTCCCTACGCTGGTCCTACAGGAGGTCTTGCTGAGCGTTGTGAGCCTGCGTCTCGCCCTGCGTCGCCTGTCCGTGCTGTTCGCGCTAGTGGTTGTGGTTCGCGTCAGCGTCCTCCTCCTGTCCCTGGCATGCACAGGATGTCTCTGCGTCCGTCCACTGCTCCTCTGCGTGCCCCTTTGCCTTCTCCTCCTGAGTCCTCTCTTTCTGCTCTTGCCGACCTGAAGTCGGATTCTCTTCGTGCTGCCAGTCCTACTGTCACGCGTCTCCTTGCTACTGTCGTCATTGACCCTTCTTTCGAGTCCACTGCTGCGTCTGCCCTAGTTGCTGAGCTCGTTGACTTTGCTGCTCGTTGTCACCTAGACTACGCTGATAGTCTTGTCGCTGAGTCTGAGTCTGTCTGTCCTCCGTCCGTCGGGGGTGAGTGTGCCCTTGGCACGGACGTCCTTGAGGACAGACAGGAGGAGTTCCAGTGTCTGGCAGCTGCTTCACCTCATCTCGTGTCCGTACTGCTTACCCCTGAGGGAGACCCGGATGCACTTGACATCCCGACTCCGCGCTCTTACGCGGAGGCGATAGAGGGTCCCTACTCCTCTCAGTGGCAGGCAGCTATGGACACAGAGATGGCTTCCTGGAAGTCCACAGGCACCTACGTTGACGAGGTTCCCCCGCCTGGGGCGAACATCGTCAGTGGCATGTGGATCTTCAGGGTGAAGCGGCCGCCGGGTTCTCCGCCTGTCTTCAAGGCACGGTACGTGGCTCGTGGCTTCAGTCAGCGGCAGGGAGTTGACTACTTTCAGACCTTCTCTCCCACCCTGAAGATGGCCACTCTTCAGGTACTGCTGCACGTTGCTGCTCACCGTGACTACGAGCTGCACTCTCTTGACTTCAGCACAGCTTTCTTGCAGGGCAGCCTGCACGAGGAGATCTGGGTGCGCCGCCCACCTGGCTTCACTGGGTCGTTCCCTCCTGGTACCCAGTGGAGTCTCCGGCGTCCAGTCTACGGTCTCCGCCAGGCGCCACGTGAGTGGCACGACACACTGAGGACTACGCTTGCGGCTCTTGGGTTTGCTCCTTCTACTGCCGACCCGTCGCTGTTTCTGCGCACCGACACCTCTCTGCCGCCGTTCTACATCCTCGTGTACGTCGACGACTTGGTCTTTGCCACAGCTGACACTGCTGGACTCGCCTACGTGAAGTCCGAGCTGCAGAAGAGACACACGTGCACCGACCTGGGTGAACTGTGCAGCTACCTTGGCTTGCAGATCACCCGGGACAGAGCACGCCGCACCATTACCCTGACTTAATCACACATGGTGCAGCAGGTCCTTCAGCGCTTCGGCTTCACGTACTCCTCGCCTCAGGCCACTCCTCTGCCTACTCGCCACTCGCTCTCAGCTCTGCCTTCGGATGAGTCCGTAGAGTCGAGTGGCCCGTATCCTGATCTTGTTGGCTGCCTCATGTACCTGATGACCTGCACACGACCTGACCTTGCATACCCTCTTAGCATTCTCGCACGCTATGTTGCTCCTGGGAGACACCGACCAGAGCACATGGCTGCAGCGAAGAGGGTATTGCGCTACTTGTGCAGTACGTCGGGCATGGGGCTTGTGCTTGGAGGGCGCAGCCCAGTGGTCCTCACTGGGCACGCAGACGCTTCTTGGGCTGACGACCAGGCTACGCAGCGGTCGTCACAGGGTTACACCTTCAGCCTTGGTTCTCGCTCTGTCTCGTGGCGGGCTACTCGCTCGTCTTCTGTTCTCGGCTCCAGTTGTGATGCTGGGATCTACGCTGGGGCCATGGCTGCACAGGAGCTTCGCTGGCTCACCTACCTGCTGACTGACCTCGGAGAGCCTCCTCGTTCTCCTCCAGTTCTGTACGTAGACAACAAGGCCATGCTGGCCTTGTGTCAAGAGCAGCGACTGGAGCACAGAACAAAGCACATTGCTCTCCGCTACTTCCTTGCTCATGAGCTATAGCAGCGTAGACAGTTGCGGCTTGCGTACGTGGCCTCTGAGGCCAACACTGCTGATGTTTTCACCAAGGCACTTGCGCCTTGTGATCATCAGCGCTTCTGCACTCAGCTGGGTCTTGTCCATGTCTTGCCCCACTTGCTCACCTCTTGACCTTCCTTGTACTGTTACATATATATATACCTGCTCTTGCTTGTCTAGCCTTATATATATATGTACTCCTGCATGTGAACTGTTTCAAAAGTTAGAAGAAGAAAAGAGGAATGAACTAGCAGAAATGGGGATACAAATAGCAAACCCTAGAAGGGTTGTACTCGCTATAGAGCACCCCACTACAGGCTAGAACATAAGAATAATATTCTGACAAACTGGCCCTGTGGCCTTGAACTTGTGCTCGGAATGTGTGGTGACTTTGTGATCCACCCTGAGCTTTGCTTTGCTTTGCTTGACTGGTCTTGTGACCCCCTGTTCTCCCCCACTTTGCCTATGGGGGTGTGTCAGAACATTATAGCTTATGCTTTTGTGTAGGCTGTAGTGGGGTATCCCATAGGGGGTACTACCCAATTAGGGTTAGTACTTGTACCCACTTCATTCATTGTTCATTCATTCTCGTTCACATTTCCTCAAGGACTCCCCAATTTTCTCCAACGCCCCACGGTCGCACACAAGGTGGGATACTCCACTATCCACCATTGTCTAGAATCGTCGCCCTTAGAAGAGCACCTCAAGAAGTAGTGGCTACTGCTGCTCTGAGAAGCCAAAGATTGTCTCATTCATAGGGTCATAAGATACATCAAAGTTATTATTCCTATTCTCTACATTCGAAGCTTTACTCTCTACTTCCAGCTTCACCTAGGGTGTAGGTGGATTTCTCCGAGGCCGTTTAAGCTTCTCCTAGGCCTGGACCATTCCCCGCCTTTGCATTTCTGTCGGCTTCACTTCTAGGGAATAGGGAGCCTTCACACTGTACTGCTGGGAGAGAATATTAGCTCCTCGGAATGGTCGACCTTTTCAATGCTCCGAAGTTGGTATTCCAGCAGGGTTAGTACCGGTACAGATTCCAAAAGCTTCCTCTTAGCTTCTAACTCTCCCCCTTTTCTTTTAAGGCTTTAAAACCATGAGATGTAATATTATTAGTTAAAGTATCCATATAGAATAATTCTAACGGATTCTTACCCTTGGGGGTGTTTAGATGGAGTTTCCTGGTCGGTTTTTTTTTTTTTTTTTTTTTTTTTTTTTTTCCGTGCAGAGTCACCATTTGCCTCAGCGATTTCTCGTAGTGCCGGCCGGTCGTGACGTTCTAAAATTGGGCCATCATTTTTTCCTTTTTTCGCCCACTCCGAAGTTGCCAGAGCGTTGACCTTTTCCCCTTTTTGAATCTTTTCTCGATCGCCAGCTCGATCCGCAGCTACTAGCGATATTCGTTTTTATACTTTGGAGGTGTTCTTGGTCTGTAGTTCTGGACGTGCTTTTTGTCAATAGGAGCTGTGTGTTGGCCCCATCTTTGCTTGGGTGGAGCCGACTTTGTATAAGAGGTACGGGGTGAGAAAGTTAGAACGAGAATGAAATGACTATGAACGAAGTGAGTACAAATAGGAAACCCTAACTGGGTTGTACCCCCTATGGGATACCCCACTATAGCCTACACAAATAAGTAAGCTATAATGTTCTGACACACCCCCATAGGCAAAGTGGGGGAGAACAAGGGGTCACAAGACCAGTCAAGCAAAGCAAAGCAAAGCTCAGGGTGGATCACAAAGTCACCACACATTCCGAGCACAAGTTCAAAGGCAAGAAGGCCAGTTCACATGCAAGATCACATATAGAGATATACAAGAGGCAAGCAAGCAAGAACAAGAGTATATATAGGTGAAAGTACAAGCAAGGTCAAGAAGTGAGCAAGTGAGGCAAGACAGGCACAAGACCCAGCTGCGTGCAGAAGCGCTGATGATCACAAGGCGCAAGTGCCTTGGTGAAGACATCAGCAGTGTTGGCCTCAGAGGCCACGTACGCAAGTCGCAACTGTCCACGCTGCTGTAGCTCACGAGCAAGGAAGTAGCGGAGAGCAATGTGCTTTGTCCTGTGCTCCAGTCGCTGCTCTCGACACAAGGCCAGCATGGCCTTGTTGTCTACGTACAGGAATGGAGGAGAACGAGGCGGCTCTCCAAGGTCGGTCAGCAGGTAGGTGAGC